CATTATTAAAAAATACATTAAGCTCAATAATGGGGTGTTATAAAGGAAACGAGCGTGGTAAAGCAAGAGAACATTTGCTGCATAAGTATTTTAATCATTTTTAGTGTTTTAATGACCATCATATTTAAAGAAATGCTTATGTATAATTACTAAGTATTATTATATTAGTATTAGGGCTAGTTTGCTTTCCGTAGTTAAATATTGAAATGTCATTGTCTCCCCACTCCACCAACAGTTGTGATCTTTTAGACAGGCTAGGGTGGACTTGTTAATATGTTTTTCTGGGCTCCTTTTAAAACTGTCAGGCTTTTCACAGGATTTAGTCTCAGAGGGTAGATGGTTCCAAAGTTTGCAATATTTAATGGTGAAAAAGTTAGCTCTAGTGGTGAGTTTATGGGTGTTAACCTTGAGAAGGTTGTCATGGTTGCGTAGACCGTACGATTTAAGATTAGCCCACGTTGCCTCTTCTGTTGTATTTGCCTTGCAGTACAAGTTGCATTGATCTACATTCCAACTGAAGCTGAGAAACAATTGAAGTCACTTACTCATACATCATCCCTCAAGGTTTGGCCAGTAATGGCTCAGCATCCTTCATGAAATCCACTGTCACCATAACAAGACGCTGTACAGCATCTTATACAAGCACTGTCAACGATCTAAAATGGCTTCTATATAGCTTTCTACGTGTTTATCAACTTACTCGTACGGAGCAACCATGCAGCGATAAATGGCGGGCTCTGGCTGACTTGGGTGCAGTAAAACAAATCTGCTTGACAATGATTAATATTAATCTGCATTCAGTTGAATTCACATCTGGTATTACTTGCAATAAAAATGATGTCAAAATCAAACAAATAAATCACTCATTTTAAATCAATACCCAATTTGAACATAAAACAAGATACGATGCCGCGCACAACAAAGCTATATGGGGGAATTAACTTCAAGCTTTATTTTTTCCCAAATATTTGTAATTTATCCGACACATACTTAGGCTTTTTTGTTAATGTGAAGACAATATTTCTATATTTCTTTATGTGCTCCATTGAACGACTAACTTTCAGAATGTACTCACTAAATGATGTCAGAGAGGATGGCAACCATGTAATTTCACTATAAACCAAATTCATGTAGTGTAAATAATACTCATCCATGCCTGTACAACTGGTGTGTCCTACATAGATAGGAAATATATATGTTATGGATGAGTTACTGCTACAGTGCTTTCTTATAACTTCGAATAAGAGAAATAAGTTGCACTTCACTCTCCTCAACCATAAGGGTTCTAAGTCCAGTCGAATACATCTGTCAAGGTATTCTATTTGTTGATCATAACCTAATATGCGTTTCGTCAGGAATCTTTGGACACTTTCAACTCTTTTTCTGTCTGCTGATTTAAAGCTACTGTATAAGTAGGCACAGTATTCAAGTTTGGGGCGAATACATATCTTACATATAGCCAATCTGGCTTCTGGAGTGTAAAAGTTGCGTAGCACAAAGCCAGCGAGACGTTTACAATCAGACATCACCTTATTTCCATGTTCAGTAAAGGTAAGATCTGAGTATGTTACACCGAGATCTGTGACGGTGCTCGTGTTTGAGACAAGGTCACCCTTCATGTATAGCCATATGCTAGGTTTCCAACGTCCGAAGTATTTTATCCCAGACTTAGCTGGATTGAACGTTAACTGCCACTTTTCATTCCAGTTACATAGACTATTTAGGTCGTGTTGGATTTTACTAGCAATATTTATATCATTATAGTCAAAATCATACACAACTTTGAGGTCATCTGCAAAGAAGTACGGCTTGCCATACTTGATCACAGAGACAATATGATTTATGAATACAATGAATAGGGTAGGACCAAGAACGCTACCTAGTGTCACGCCGCTGGTTATTGGTTTGGATGTAGATAAGTGATGGTTGATTTTAACTAACTGTTCTCTTCTTGTTAGAAAGGAAGTTATCCAGTCCAGTAGCCTTCCACTAATTCCATAAGATAGGGTTTCAGTATGAGTCTCTTATGTGGGACCTTATCAAAAGCTTTCCTGACATCTAGAAGTAGTGTTGCTGCCGAACGACCTTTGTCTACACATTCAGTTATGTGGTCGAAATAATCTAACTGGCAAGTGATGCACGACCTTCTAGTTAAGAAACCGTATTAGAAAGAGGATACTGAGGAATTTGCTTCTATACAAACTTTTCTATCACACGTTAAACAACGGAAGTGATGTTGATGGGGCAGTAGTTATCTATGTCCGCTGTAGGTCCGGTTTTGTGAATGGGTACAACGTAAGATTTCTTCCAGCTATTTGGATATGTTCCACCCCTTAGCGAAGTTGAAAATATCTTGAGGAGAATTAGGTTCGTGTCATTTCCACCATTTTTTAAGTGGACGGAAGACATTCCATCTGGCTGGGGTTATTAGTGAGCTTAACAGTTGCGATAGCTTTATCGATTTCTTGGGCGTTGAAGACTACATCGCTTAAACACTTTTCTGTTTTACGAGGGAAATCAATATCCTGGTCATTTTCTAGAGTGTATAGTTTGGCAAAGTGCGTGCTAAACACCCCACATATATCCTCAGCATTTTCGTGAGTGATGCCGCCTAGGTGTATTAATTTTTGATATGTTGATTTGGAGTTTGTTAAGCTATTTTTGAAGAGTTTGGCTATTTCTCCAGTGTTATGTGGCGACTGAATGGCCCGCGTTTCTTTATTCCTAAGACTTAGATTTATCAAATCATAGATTCTAATGAGGATTGTTTTGATGAACCTTATCAATTAGTTCTTCCATTAAGCTAGGTTCTATAACTCTCGGTTTACCGATTGATCTAAGTGCAAATTCGTCATCAGCACTAATGTTTTTAGTGAGCTGCTGACTATTTGATGCTAGTTTCTTAACAGTACTAACTCGTTTAACAACTTTGACCATTATGAAGGTAAAGATAATATCAATTTCTCAAAAACTGATAAAAGTGTGTGAAGTGCTATAATATTATCTAAATAGATAAAACAACAATAAACGGGTATGAATGTAAAAAATACAAACTAAGAATAGACCACTATCAAACGGGTTAACTCTGATTGTTATAGACCACAAAACTTAGGACTTCTCTGTAGTTCTTTAGTGATAGATTGCTCTTTATTCACACGAATTTGACTGGATCCAAACAGTATTCTGGCTGTGATAAATTTGAATATTTAGCTACCGGAGGTGCAGTTATAATTGTTTAGTAGTCAAATATAGACCACGATATTCCAGAATGTGGAAAATTATTTCCACGTTATTTGGGGAGAATGTAACGTCCTACACGAAGCGAGCGGAAAAACCTTTAAGAGAACAAAATAAAGTAACTTTGAAAATAAACGATGCTCAGTCACGATATCTGTTTTTTTGAATTTTAGGTTTCTAAGAACAATAGCCACCCCAAGTGTGGTTACAAACTGGGGATTAAACTGAGAGCAGTTTCAATAATCTTACACCCCAAACCTTGTCAGATATCATATGGAAAGACTTTCCTCTCTAAAAACTACTTTACCGTGAACAAACTGGTAGGTTTAGGATTTTGATTGATTCTGTCGGATTAAATCACGTTCAAGGCCCTTTCAATAATTGAAATTTTTTTATTTCACATTTATTGTGTCCAATTAGGACCAGCGGCCAACTGTAAATTACGCTACATTCTCGAGGTCGTTTGTTCGACAATGATCTAACGTACGTGTTATCTAGAAGTGACGTTCATTTTAGTTTATTGAATTTTCATTTAGACAATAAAATAGACTTCTGACAAACTCTGTGTCCAAAAAATAATGGTAGGACAACGATACTGATCTGTACTCAGTTAAGGAATGCACATGCAGTAGTGTTTAGAACTATGTGAATGTGGTTGTTTTCTAATAGTTGACAAGGGGGCGAAACGGTATTCATTCATTGTTAGGTTTTGCGTAGCTAGCTATGAAAATTGTAGATTTCTATAGCACCTATAATGCTTTCCGTGGTTTATCGGGACTCATCACTAAAGACTGAAGTTACTGGTATACAGTTTACTTTGATATAATCCTCTTGCCGTAATTCTCTAAATTTCACTACGTAATAATATTTGATAATGGTTCTCCCAAGCAATATACTGGTTTGAATATAGTCCCAAGGACTTACTATAAGTTTTGGTTACAGAGAACTATTTTCTGTTAAAAACGTGAACAAAAATTCTATGATGTTACTACCACGAGTTGTTTCACACGAAATATTCTACCAACAATATAGAAAGAAGGAAATAAAGTAGCAATCCAGGGGTATGGAACGAATGCACGCAATTATCAACCGATTCGAAGGGGCGTTTACTAATCTATGAAGAAGTGGGAAAATAAGTGTTATCACCACTAATTCCGATTCTGAGTCACATCTGATGATATCTATGACCAGCGACTCAGGTATCCCCAGGCAGACTGCCGTTGTCGGTATGCTCCCATTTGAACACATTCCACAAGTCACTTAAGTTTTCACTTCGATTTTCACCATTTGACGCATCTGCTTTAGTTCCAGATTATTTAAATGCATTTAAACAGTAACTACTTTCAAGACTCGTTAAAACTAAGGTTGTTAAACTGTAGTTTAAAAAAATCTATAAAAACTTTAAGTCTTACTTTATTTTGCTTTTTGTCTCTAGGTGTGATTTTAATATTTTATTCTGGTAATTTAGTCTTGGTATTTCACTGGGGTTTACATGCGTAGTCTTTGTATAACGGGTATTTTGTAGAAACAAAGATAGACAATTCAGGAGTGCTCATAAAGTTTTATAAATTTTTAAATGAAAACATTATCACTTGTTCCTAATCAACTGAATAATTCCATTGTTAACATTCCATATTCCTATAATTATAATAACTTCGTGTTACTTAGTTATGTTGCGTATATTTTAGTGTACATAATACTCACGTATTTGGATTTTTTTCTAACTACTTAATGCTAAGTTCAAATTGCTTTCCATTTTGTAGTTGCCAGGTTCAATGAATGCAATTAACTCTAACAATCCTAAAAACATAACTCCTAGCATCAATTATGCGAACAATACTAGTTTTTCAGGAAATGTGGAAAATGGTTTGATAAAATCTGAAAACCCATCTGCTGCTCATTCAGGTCAACCATCGACAAATACGAATAAGTCAAACCAAGATGGTGATGACTCGAAAGCAAGTTGTGTCATTCCGGCTGATGAATGTTGGTTATACAAACCACCAAAACAGTTTCAAACACAGGGTCCTATTGAACCCATTAGCAAGTGGCTGCGTTCTGTATTTGATTCACCAGACTCTTGTTTTTATCATTCTCGTCGAAATCTCTTATCTCGCCTTGAAGCAATCATTCTAGCAGGTGGACAAACTGAAGCATACCAGTTCGGAGGTAGTGTACCATCTCTGAACCTAATACCTCCGGGATATTCATCTCTTACGAACAGAGGGCGTGCGGAACAATCCTCGTATGAATCCGATGTATCTACACGTATGATAACAGCTAGTTCATCGGATAGTCTTTCCTTTCCCAACCAAGCTATCGGTGCAAACACTGCAATAAACAGTGACCGTATAAACGTTGGAACATTTACACGGTCTCATAAACCAAGAATAAGCTTACCACCTCAGTGCAGTACAAGTAAATCTACGAGAAATGGACCTCATAATGCCTACTTGTCAAATTCTACTGGCACTAACTTTACATTCAAACCTCCTAACAAAACTGGGTCATTTGATGAATTGGAGATGACATCGACAAATACCAATGTACAGGAGATCGCTAAAAGACAAGAGGATACATTGAAAGCAGAAGTTGCTGCCTTAGCGGCAGCAGCAGCAGCTGCTGGTAAACATGGTAGTCAGCATTCCCTCTCTTCATTATGCCGAAACAGTCCACATGGTAGTTATACAAATATTGCTAGTGCACCAGAAAGTCCTCATTCAAGCACAACTAAGTTAAACCAACCCCAGTCAAGTTCCCAGAACTTTTATGCAAAACAATCTTTATCGTTTTCTCAAGAGTTTGAAGCCCAAGCTCCAAATCAGAAATCAATACAAAATTTCCAACCTAGTCACTTTTCATCAAATAGCCCTACTAGGAAAGATTCATTAACAAACCTTACTGTTCATCCGTCAAGTGTAGCAAACATCAAGCAAAACCCTTACAAAATTTTGCCCCAAAAACCTATTCTGGCTAATATTGTTCCAGAACTAGGGAATGATTCTAGACAGTCTCAGAAAGTTTCTGGAGTTTCAATGTACTCAAATGTAAATCCTCCTACAGTGCCTACCACTATGAATTTATATAACCCGGTGACTGAAACACGCAGTCATTTCGGTTTTCGGTCATCACAAAAAAGTTCTGCTATCCCACCTGGTAAATCTCTTAATCTAGATTCAAGACGTACTTCTGATGACTATTATCTACCTACTGGAAATCAATAACTGGATCCTTTTTAGTCTAGATTATCTAGTCTTTATAGTTTGATATCTTAACACTTACTTCCTTGACAGTCCTCTTTTCCACCGACTCCAACCAATAGTAAGGCACCCAGTCATTATGATTGTAACTTTAACCCTTTTGTTAAAATTACTAATCAGCATTGTTGCCTTTGACATTTTCACACTGTATAAAAAGACTATTCAATTTCTAACTTTTATTCATAAATGATTTTCCTTTAATTGCATTTTCCAGTCTTAGTGGTTGTTTTTGGAAGGTGAGTAGCATTTAATCCTTGTTTTGTTCATACATACACTATAACTGAATCGCAGAATGTTTGCTTCTTTAAAGACCTATTCTTTTAAAGTCAATTTTTAGTTCGTGTCAGCTAACACTATTTGCCTTCTTGTTTATCCTGCCAATTTTCTGTGATATATAGCTTACTTAACTTTGGACTTTACATATGTATTTTAAATATCCTTTTCTTCTCTTTAAATAATATTTTGAATAAATTTAATGTAAAGTATTTGTTTTTAAGTGTGTATTTATTTTCTAATTTATGTCGTGACTTTCTTGCTTACAACTCATCTTGTAGTGATTATTTGTTAGTGATGGATTCCGTTGCATCAGGTAAGTCTCAGTTAAGTTTCTATATTATTAATTTCTGCTGATTCGCCCAACTGTTAGAAATTTATTTACAGGCAGTAATTTTTAAAGGTTAAAATAACTTGGTAACAGTTTCCCTAAAAAATCTAATGCGTGATAAAAGTGCCCCACTGAAATAATTTTCCCTTTGTGCAAAATCCATTAAGAGTATAAATTCTTGACTGAACCAATCAGTAGTAAATCATGTGACACATTACTATTGTGTCACCCAGTTGAAACCCAACACTTAACACTTCCTATTTTCAACCGTTTCGTTATGTAATATTAATAAACACTGTCCATTATTAGGGAGCCACAACTTGATGGAGACATAATATCAGTCTGTAAAACAGTTTATTGTGAACGCAAACTGTACGGGAAAGTGTAGACCACTTGACTGCGTACCTGTAGCTATCAGTGGTAAATGGTTGAAGTCTTATTAGTATGTCTGAAGATCCATCTTAGTAACTCAAATATACTCATATCGTATCCTCATTTTCATATAGTGTTAGATTTCATTATTTGTTATATTCTGCTTTCTTATAACTTTTGAAACTCAAGGTGATGCTTAAAAATTATGTATACATCTCAGGGAAATTGAAATGAATAATTCTTACTTTCCGTTCGGTAAACTATCATTCCTATACCGTAAAGATATAAGAATCACTGCTCAGTAATGCAAGATTAGTATTCCTGACGAATAAACAACTGTTTAGAGGTGAAACTGTTGTATTATTGTCAATAAACATTTATCTTCAAAGGTCGAACGTGTTTAGTATGATTTACCGCCTATATATTTAAAATCTTGTCCTTTGTATATATACAGAATTCTATACGGTATGCTTATTTCTTCTCTTCATTTGAACAATTGTTTCAGGTGACGAAAGTAATCAAACTGACATTGAAACTTCATACCAGGGGATAAAAAAAGTTTTTGAGAATTACGAAAAGTTTACTGGTCCTAATGTTGACTTGAATGAATTATATTCGTCACAGCTTAATTTAAGCCACATTCGAGAGGATTATGAAACAATTGAACGTGAATTATCATTAATTCAAGCAAACTGTCAACGTGCTCGAACTGCTCTTTTAGCTGCTGGATTTCAGTGTCCCGATGTTCCGACTTTGGGTTAGTCCAGTTTTAACTCTGTTTAGTTCTATTTGTATTTGGTTTTATTTCTTCATGACATTTCTAGTCATTTGAACTCAGTGTAATTCATGGTTGACAGTAGTGCGTGCCACTATCCTGATAAAGTTGGTCGGGATATTATTGATATGCGTCGGTGGCACAGTGGTTAGGACTCTCGCCGACCATGCACATGGTCCGGGGTTCGATCCCCTGCCGGCGCACACCCGATATCTATGGTATGCCTGAATTTGCAACCAATCATAAATCGATGACAGTGGTGCAAACGCATTCTCTCTATCTCTCTTGTCTTCCTTACCGCTCTTAATTTGTTTATCGTCTCCTCACAGATTTAATGTATTATAGGTCCACTTCTATAAATTGTAAACTCTAGAAATCGGAGTCAATTCGTTTTTGTTCTATGTGTTACGCTGTTGTGTGTCGGTCTGTTAGAAAATGACAAGTAAAATCCCTCATATAAATTAACACCACTTCTTAGTGTGAGGATTTTATTGCTGGTATTTTGTAGTCGTAGATATTTTATAGCTTGTAAACTGACAAATTTAAAATCATTAGTTTTGTCAAACAAAGTAAATATTTTGATCACCAAAGCAAATAATCGTAGAGTTTGAGAATTTAAGCTTCATTAAATTCTGTTACTTTCACCTCAGGTTTAACGGAACTGAACTGTAACATCAGCGTAGTATTTTGCTTAAAAGTATAGGAGTTTAAGTTACGACGCTTCATAAAATCATACATGAGAGTAGAGAAAAGAAATGCATGAAACTACGATAGACAGAAATATACGAAAGAAGGAATAATTATATAAAGAATAATGAGGATTTTCAGTGTGAAAGGTCACAAAGAGTGAATACGTTTGTGCCACTGAGAACGATTCTGAGCCGTGTCATCAACAATCTCCAATCATTAATTCTGAGCATCTCGACGACTCCGAATACTCAATTTGGACCTTCCTGCGTATCTCAAACCAATGGTCAAATACTTTATAGACTGATGTCATGTTTTGGTCAAACCACCCTTAACTTTTTCCCGACTTAACTTTATATAATCTAACATTGATTGTCCAGGAAGGTGGTGAGTTGGTATCTGTAACACTTGTTTTATCCATCTCAGTTGACTCAGCTTCATAAATTCATTTATTTACTTCCCTTCCTTATCTAACACTACTTCTAACTTCATTATTATTAACTATATTGAACCATCTAACACAAGAAATAGAAGGCAGATACTTATGGTCGACGATGGGTATTTATTTTATAAATAAAACTTCCAACAGTCGTAAAGAAGAACTGGGCTAACTGTTGCACAGTACACACTATCTTCAGTGGACAACCGGATGTCACCCCCACAAAAAAGATAATGCAAGTTGGCAAATGCCAACAAAACTTTTCTATCCACCCTGAGATTTCATCAACAATCAAGACTAACTTATATCTCCAAATAATTGAAGTGGTCATTACATTCATCCATTTCGCTTCATATTTTTAAACTAGGAGTCAATGCAAACCAGTCCTACAGCATCATCTTACATTTGACCGGGGTGGATTGCATAACAAGCGTAATCAGATTTTCCCTCATAGTGTACAGAAGACTGCGCACTTTGTCTATGTTTCCACCTTAAATCTCATCTGCATACACTAGATAAACGATACTTCTCCTTTCTAGCTAGTCAATCCCTGAAACATTGAATTCGACCAGGGCTACATCTGTCCAGTACAAGACCAGAAGGCTAATTTATTGTATCAAAACCAACACTATCTGACTTTCCAAACTTGATTAGGTAAAGTGTGAATAACCAGTTTAAAGTCAAATGTTTAGACTATGAAATTGTGTTTTCAACTAACCAGTAAGGTTTTGTTATCGACATTTAATTCATATTATACAGTGATTGATATTCATATACCCAGTGCAAAACACTTATACACTGATTCATGAAACTGAAGTGCTGTTTAATTTTTTTTGGATAGACATTAGTAAAAATATTGATTCATTTGTCTCACAAGCAATTTTTGTAGTAAATAATAATGTACATTTTATACTTATTTTTATTTTTAAACATAGTACTGATCTATCTTGACAAGCGAAATATTCTAACTTTTTTCTTTTACATTTTAGATTCCTCCTAATGTACATACTGAATAAGTTTAGAGTTGACTTTGAATTACTTACAGGGGGAACTAAGTCAGTTTCTCTTTGACATCGTGTTATGCAATGTTTGTGTTTTTGTATTTATACATTACTATTTTCAATACTTATGCAAGCCTAAATTTGTCATATAGTTCTCTCTTAATTCCCACTTAATTCTAAAGGGAAAAATTGATTCCCAATCGGTTTACTCATTTGTCTGCATGCTTTATTCTCATATTAAAACTGTCTTATTTGTTCGTTTGAATTTATGACTTCGTTACATTGTTTAGGCTTCACTTACTTAATATTGTAACTACTATTAATATTATTGTTATTATTATTATTATTACTATTATAGTTGTTACTTTAATCCCTGGAGATAGTTTTCGTCACGTTCTTACATATTACTGCTTATAATCTAGTGAAAATGTTTTTGTGTTTTTTGTTATTGTTGACGACTACTTCTTCATGTGTGTCTTTAATAACTTAATTGGTTTACGGTTTCTCTTTATTATCACTACTTGTATACGCTAATAAAAGGTGATGGTTAGTGAAATCTTTAATATTTTCCTCTCTATCACTATCTCAGAAACAGATTGCAAACGACAGTTTCTGATAAGATTATCGTTTAGCGTACTGTATTTATGCACGAATGAGAATCGACTAAAAATGATGAATTGTGATGTGAATATGCATAGAAGTTGGAATTTTCTTCAACTCATGAACAGTTGTAAGTAAAAATAAGAACAGTCTGATAATTGTCTAAGACAGTATATTGTGTTATAATAACTACGAACACTTGTGTAATAATGGCCAGTTTTTTTCTCAATGTATTGGGAAAACAAATCAATTAAGTACACTTTAATAACTGTTCTATGAGTAGTACGTTTGTACTCTTCAAAGTTGAAAGTGACAGATACTGACATCCTGTAAAGATTTTGACATGTTCGTATTGTTCGCAATTTTTGGGTTGCAGGATTTCATGTTTGAACATGAAGAGGACCATTAAAAACTAGGGAGTACTGGACAGCTGTTTCGTCCTAACTTGGGACGCTGCATCAGTACGTGTCCATGACCTCACCAGCGGTTTATCCTTAGGACCTTCAGGTTGTGAGGCCAGTCCAACGACAATTTAGCCACTACGACGGATTCCAATAACCTATGAATTCTAACTTCCGTCAATTCGCCATATGCAGCGCAATAGTTAGTCAGTGTTGTCAAGGTGTATTTGTCCTCACATTCAACTTGGTTGACTTCGCTGGTCACGACTGCTCACCAGGACTTCTGGCAACTAGTGAACATTAGATGAATTTTCAAGTGTTAGTTTGATCATGAGATGAATTTCGCTACAGAACCATCGAAAAAATTACCTTATGTAGTGAAGATTGTAGTAGACGTAAATACATTTATGACTGACTTTTTATGGTTAAAATCGGATGCAATCGTATGATATAACTTATAGAGGAGATACACGTCAACTGATTAGCATATACATTTTTCATCTCTAAGCTTTAAATACTTATGACAGATAACCGGGTGTTGGGTCCATCAAGTTAAATATGATCTGAAATCTACTTGGCACAAACAATAGTTAAGATTGAAGAGAGAAAGAACGAACATGTTTGCAGGATAATACGAGCTCGTTTTATTTCGTGGATACTCATCAACTGCATACATCCTAAACAAAATCAAATTATAAGTTTCAAAAAAGTTTTGGAACATACTTTTTTCATAATTACTTGGAGTTATAGATAGAAGGTATAAGGAACATAATTCCAGAATTTGATGTAGGTAGACAGATTATTCAGTGTCAAAAAACAACTAACTATATATAGTGGAATTAGATAAGAGGGGTTAGAGTTCAGATTTCTATTGGGAAACACAGATTGGTTAGAGGCATAATACAGGGTCAGGGTCAGAGAACAGAGTGAATTAACACACCTTGTGGTGGAGAGTTTAAGAGGGTGGGGGTGAATAGTGAAGTAACTTTTTTAACTTAAACAGACAATTAAGTGGATTTAGAAACTTGATAGTCAGTTCAACTTAGCAAGTGGAAGTCAAAATTGAATAGAATGTTTCGTAACAAGACAAACACACAGGCATACTGACAAAAAGGCAAAACAAAAATAAAATAGAATTAGGGTTACCAGGGTAGTGAAAGATTAGTCACACTATCTCTCTCTATACAGAGGTCTGGTCGAAGTCTCTTGATAGCAATGGCTTCTGCGAAGCGAAGTAGCCGTGGGTTTCTTTGCGTATTGATTATTTTGAAGGCTTGGTTAATTCCTATTGTGTGTCCTATGTCAATTAAATGTCTGGCGATTTCACTCGATAACACTTTTCTTCCTTTTGTCTGGAGACTCTTAGGAATGTGCTCAGAAAATCCAGTAGATGCTCTCCTCTTAGTCCTTCCTATGTACTTGCTTCCGCAAGTGCAAGTAAATTGGTAAATGCAGTTGGAGTTGAAGTGAGCACGGTACTCATCTACTTTTGACTGGGTTAACGAGCACACAGTGTTGTAAAATAGGATCAGTCTGGCGGCTGGAAACATTCTTTTTAGTGCACCTGTGATTCTTTTTTGTGTTCTTGTGGATACGTCTTCCACAAGATATGTAAATTCACTCTGTTCTCTGACCCTGACCCTGTATTATGCCTCTAACCAATCTGTGTTTCCCAATAGAAATCTGAACTCTAACCCCTCTTATCTAATTCCACTATATATAGTTAGTTGTTTTTTGACACTGAATAATCTGTCTACCTACATCAAATTCTGGAATTATGTTCCTTATACCTTCTATCTATAACTCCAAGTAATTATGAAAAAAGTAT